TGTAGCCCAGGCTGGCCTCGAACTCACAGAGATCTGCCTGGCTCTGCCTCCTGAGTGCTGGGATTAAAGGCGTGCGCCACCACCGCCCGACTGGGAGTTTTATTTTTTTAGACATCATGAGTTATGTGGATCATAAGTGCTTTATCAGGTGTATTTTGTTTCCTGTTTTTATGGTATTACACTAGTTTGGATGAACTTCCCTGCCTGCATTCTGTTTTCCTTTGCAGATGACCTCTTAGTCCTGCATCTCTCTGACCTGATTCGCATGGCATTCATGGCTGCAACTGACCATAGCAACCAGCTGCGAATGGCTGGGCTACAGGCACTTGAAGACATTATCAAGAAGTTTGCATCTGTGCCTGAGCCAGAATTTCCAGGTCATGTGATCCTGGAGCAATATCAAGCTAACGTGAGTTTTGCTGCTTATTCACAGAGTGGAGTTTGTGAGGGTCACTCGAGAAGGGATTACAGTCTCTTCATATGGAGCTGAAACTATTAGAATCTGTTTCATAGTTCAACCAACCTACAACTGGAGAAGGCTCAAACTGCGGTAACTATTTTTAAGTTGTGATAGCACAGTAATGATAAACTAGAATAGAAATTCCAGCCTGCCTTCCCAGTCTTGTGCTTAGCTGTGTGGCCATGCCATGCCGTTTAAAAGATAAAGGGAGCATTCACAGAAGTGTTGCAGATTTGCTATGTGCGTGCGTGTGCGCGCTGAAGCTTGATGAGCAGTTTTAGAAATAGAAGCAACTTTTTCTTGTAAGCTGAGTGAGAATGACTCCTGATGGTAGCTGCCAAAGGGATTGCCTAAGAAGCAGAGTTCCAAGAGATTGTTTTTGCTACACCCCAAACAGATAAACTTGTTCTTCCTGAGATTTGTCCTCTAAGCTTTCAGCCACACCATAAACTTTCCCCCTAGTAATGGAGGAAAGGCTGTGTGAAAGTTAGGGGAAGTTATATTAGCAAGCAAAACGAAAGTCTTTTTTTAAATGAAATTATTCTAAAACTTGGTCTCAGATACACAATATCTTGTCTAAAAGCTTTGTTCAAGCCTGGTGGTAGCACACACCTTTAATCCAAGCACTCTCGAGGCAGAGGCAGGAGGATCTCTGTGAGTTTGAGTCTGGTCTACAGAGTGAGTTCCAGGACAACCATGGCTACACAGAGAAATCCTGTCTCAAAAAACCTAAGTAAATAAGTAAATAAAGCTATGTTCAAATGTACCCAATTATACTTGTGGGTTGGGGATTTAGCTCAGTGGTAGAGCACTTGCCTAGCAAGTACAAGGACCTGGGTTCGGTCCTCAGCTCTGAAAAAAAAAAAAAAGAAAAGAAAAAGGAAAACCAAAATTATGTTTGTGAGTAACACATAAATCATTTAAATACAGGTGAGGAAGGTATAGCTTTAATCCAAGTGGCTGCATATTGTTGCTTACTAGAATGAGGATCTGTGTGGGAGTGCTCTTAACTACTGAGCCATCTCTCCAGCCCCTAAAATCGTTTTATTTAGAAATAATTTCAAATATTCAGGGAAATATCCCAAAACCGTGTTGTATCCTTTCCCGTGTCTGTCTGTGGCTAATTTTGACCCATTTGTTTGAAAGTTGGCTATCTCTTCCTCTCTTCTCCCTCCCGTGTCTTTCTCTTCCCACAGACATACATATGTAATAAGCTTTTTCTAAATCATTTTGAAGTCAATTATTTTAGTCAGATATTGTCACCCTCGAGCCATTTGGACTATATTTTTAAAAGATGAGAGCATTGTCTTCTGTAACCACAGAACAGTTATTAATCACTGGAAATTCAATATTGACTCTTTGCTTTTGCTAAGTCTGTCATCATCATTTTGTCAGTGGACCCAATTAACTCTTTTTTTTTTTTTTTTTTTTGGTTTTTCGAGACAGGGTTTCTCTGTGTAGCTTTGCGCCTTTCCTGGAACTCACTTGGTAGCCCAGGCTGGCCTCGAACTCACAGAGATCCGCCTGCCTCTGCCTCCCGAGTGCTGGGATTAAAGGTGTGCGCCACCACCGCCCGGCCCAATTAACTCTTTTATAGTTTTTATTCTCTTTCAGGGCCGGTTCACATGCTGTGGTTAGTTGCTGTACGCCTTTAGTCATAGAAAGGAACTTTTGACTGTCTCCAGACATCTGTGTAGACAACTTAGTGACAGTCGGTAGAAATCTCAACCTAGGAACAGATTACATGTAATGTCTTTATTCAGCTCACACACTACATCTCATCATCTGTCCAAGAATCCATGGCTGATGTTGGCTTCCTTAAAACCAAAGCTTATATTCTTTTACTTCTTAATATAATAATAGAGAAGCTAATTAACAATGTATTATTACTTCTTATTGTGTATATGGTGAGAATGAGTGTGTGTGTGTGTCTGTGTGTGTCTGTGTGTGTGTATGTGCACACACACATGCAAATGCATGAGTCGGGGTCAGAGGACAGTCTTCCAGCATCAGTTCTCTCCTTTCCCCGTAGTTCCCAGTGATCAACTTAGATTGTCTAGCTTGCTTGGCAGGCAGGTACTTTTACCCACTGAGCTGGTCCCCTAAAAGCTAATAGTTTTGAGCAGACTTTTAAAGCATCTTTTTGTGAGGTGAAATGGTCTTTGAGATACTTAGTACTGCTGAATTTTTATAATTCCTCAGTTCTTTAAAGAAATTGATCCTGTTACTTGAGCTTTACTCAAGAGATACATAAATGCTGTTAGAAATATGTTTAGAAAATATATATGGAGTTGAGGAGGAAACACAAAGAATGTAACAGTCTGGTTATCTTTGATAACACGTGACTCTGTCAGAAAATCCCATTTATGCAGGCTTCTGGATCCGGTGCCTGTGGTGTGACACCTTGCGCAGCCTTGGTGCAGTGGGAAGGGGCTTGGACCTGCCTAGGCTCAGTGTGCTGGGCTCTGCTGACTCCCCATGGGAGACCTTGATTTGGGGGATGTGGGGATGCGGGGTGGCATGGGAAAGAGGGCTGAGGGGGGTGGGAGGAGGGAGGATCTGTGGATAGTATGTGGAGTGAGTAGAAAATTTCTTAATAAAGAAAAAAGAAAAAAAATAAAGTAAAAAAAAATCCCATTTACTATTAAACCAAAATGAAAGCAAAAGAAACAAGATTGTCCTTTGGGCAGACTTTTCATATAGATTTGGTATTGATAACTTCCTGAGAAGCAAAGAAAAATGTAATTGTAGTTAATCTTACTGTAACATTGAAAGTGTTAGGAGGAGGTGATAAGGAAGGAAGGAAGGGAGGGAGGGAGGGAGGGAGGGAGGAAGGAAGGAAGGAAGGAAGGAAGGAAGGAAGGAAGGAAGGAAGGAAGGAAGGAAGGAAGAAAGGAAAGAATTAAGATGTGTGTTCACTGTTTTAATCTCCAGTGACACCAAGTTTACTACGTGTCTCTAAAATCAATGGTTTGCTCATTTTCCTAGGTGGGAGCTGCCCTAAGACCAGCCTTTTCACAAGACACACCCTCAGATATAATAGCTAAAGCTTGCCAGGTAAGAGGAAAGCGGGCTTCCATGGCTGCCGTCTAAAAATTTCTAAAGGTCTTAGATTTCACTTAAAGAGAAAATCAAACTGTTCTTTATCTTGAAACTACAATAGCGTTCATTCCTTTTTTATAAATTTTCAATAAAATTATCCATTCACTCATGTACTTATTTGATGTGTATGGGGCGCAGCGCTCACGTGGCGGCCAGGACAACTGGTCTCCTCCGCTGTGTGGAGTCACACTGAGATCATCGTCATCATCTTGACAGTGGGCGGCTTGACCAGCTGAGCCGTCTCCCCGCCCCCACCTTCTATGCTTGTGTGTTCTATAGAAATATAAGATAGTAAGTGTCAATCACATCCCTTTTCCATCATAGCTCAGGGTTTGGCTCTGGATACTTTCCTATGTTATCTCCAAGTGAATGGACCTATGAACATCATAAGGGGAGCTAAAATAAACGTAAGATACCAAAACCTGTAGTAACAGCTAGGTATAAACTGGTGGGGTGGTGAGTTGCACATTCTTTTACTGTATAGAAAAGAAGGAATTGCTTAGAAGGTTCTGGTTTGTTGGTGAGAATAACTTCACCTTAAGAAGCTTTAAATCAGGTAATCCTGAGACAGACAGGAGAAAGCCTGGTGTGTGGTACATCTAGATGTCTCCATGAGCCCGCTAAATAGTTAAAATAGGGCTGAGTCATGAGCAGTGTACCCTCAACTATTTCACTTGAGCCTGGGTACAAATGTACGCTCAGTTGCCTGGTGTGGGGCCAAGGTCTTTTCTCTGAATATGGTTTGGTTGAACCATCACTACACCATCTTCCTTTCTAAGCAAACCCATAAAGCACTACTTGTAATTTCAAGGTATAAAATCTTTTTAAAAACCCATTTATGTTTTTGATTTCTGTGTGTGTATCTGTGTGTGTGTATGCTCGCACACGCATGGGTGCCCACAGATGCTAAAGGAGGTTATCAGATCTCCTGGAGGTGTAGTTATGGACCGTGCTGAGCTTCCTGACATGGGTGCTGGGAACCAGACTCTGGCCCTCTGCAAGAGCAGCAAGAACTCTGAACCACTGAGCATCTCTCCAGCCCCTAGAGCAGTGGTTCGCAACCTTCCTAACGCTGTGACCCTTTAGTACAGTTTTTCATGCTGTGGTGACCCCCAGCCATAAAGTTATTTGCGCTGCTACTTCATAACTGTAATAAATTGTTGTTATGAATTGTAATGTCAATATTTTTGGAGACAGAGGCTTGTCAAAGGGGTTACTTTCTGGTATTCACAGATTTGCCTGACTTTTAGTGACATTTCAACTAAATTGCACAAAAATATTGTATCTATCCAGTATGTTTAGTTTCTTTAGGAATCAACTCCTTTTGTCCTTTTAACCCTTGCATTACATTGCATATAACTTTAAACTTTCTGTTTGCAGAATTATTTTGGTTGACAACTTATTTTGTCAGAAGTATGTTCTTAATAACAATCTGTTTTTAAGTGTTTTTATTTTTATTAAGTTCAGTTTTCAGTTTTTAAAAAATTATTTTTTGTTTGTTTGGTTTTGGTTTTTTTGGTTTTGGTTTTTGGTTTTTCGAGACAGGGTTTCTCTGTGTAGCTTTGCGCCTTTTCCTAGAACTCACTCTGTAGACCAGGCTGGCCTCGAACTCACAGATATCCGCCTGGTTCCGCCTCCCAAGTGCTGGGATTAAAGGCGTGCGCCACCACTGCCCGGCCGGTTTTGGTTTTTTGAGACAGAGTTTTACTGTGTAGTCCTGGCAGTTCTGGCACTCACTCTGTAGACCAGGCTGGCCTCAAACTCACAGAGACCCTCTTGCCTCTGCCTCCCGAGTGCTAGGATTAAAAACACACTGCCACTGCCCAGCTGAAAATAAGATTTTAAGTGAATAAAATTAAAGGAACACAAGTCCATTAACCAGGATTTGAAAGCCAAATACTCCAGAAACCCAGAGTGTTTTTATGATCTATTTGGCAGCAAAACCCGAGTTCATTACACTGATTTGCATCCGAAGCCTTTGAGGTTTTAGTATTGATTTGTCTCTGAGAGCGGTACCTAATGAATTCCCTATTGGAAATTTCCATGTGTCCACCGTGTGGTGCAGTCCCAATCCTTCCCACATGTGTTCCCTCCCTGACGAGGTTCCTACACCTTCATGAGAGTTGCCAAAGCTGGCCCTGTCTAGGCCTCTTCCTGGATGACATCCTTCTCTTGGCTCTGGCGGCTGTCCTCTGGTGGTTTTCCTTTGTTTTCCTGGGTTTAACTCACTTAAGTTGTTCCACCTGCCTTTTAAGTATACCAGCTTCCCCTGTTGTCTGGATGTAGGCTTTTAAGGTATTTTTCCCCAAGCCAGGTGGTGGTGGTGGTGCACACCTTTAATCCTAGCACGCGGGAATCAGAAACATGTGGATCTCTGTGAGTGCAAGCAATCTGGTCTACAGAACGAGTTCCAGGACAGCCAGGGCTACTCGAACAAACAAACAAACAAACAAACAAAAAGACATTCTTTTCCTAGACAAATCTGCCTCATACTCCTACTTTAGTTATTGCCCTTGTGTAGAAGTTTCTAGTCTTACATAGTTCCCCTCTACTTGCTCCTGGAACCTAGAGCAGAGTTTCCAACTGTCTGCTGAATGTCTGTCCACAAGTCTCTTAGTGGTACTTAGAGTTCACATGTGAAAATGTTTGGAATCCACATCATGCTGACGTCTCTCCACAGAACTTTCCTAGTTTTCATATTGGCACTCCTAACAATGGAGTCACAGTCCTTCTATTCTTCCACGTCAGGAGCATTGACAAAATTGAACAGGTTTTGGCTCCTCGCTCTTTCTGCACCCCACAGTCTTGTGCCCTAAAAAAACAGTGTCCACACCCTGTAGTTTTTGTCTTCACATTTCTCCTGACCACCTCCTTGTATTCCCGGTTCCATCCATGTCGTGTCTGTCTCATGCAGTACTTTAATGCAGGTAACTGACGTGCTGTCTATTATCTTGTGTATGGTTCTCCTAAAGCCTAAATCTAATGCCAAAGACCCTTGGAAACTCGTGGCCATCCTCTGATTTTAGTACCTAGGATATTTAAACTTTGTGTGTCTGACCCCAGCTTTCCTGATCTTCACTTCTTCCCCATTGAACATCCCTGTGACTTTACACACAAACTGTCCTGACTTCTAAGCATCATCCAGCGTAAACTGCAGTCATAAAACTCTATGGTTTTCTTTTTCCCTTTTTAAAAAAGTCTTTCACAGTAGCTACTTTGATAGTTTGCTGATGGCAAACAGATATTTTGTTGAAGAAATTTTCAAGACTGAACAACTTTGGGTGGAAAACCACTTATTCTCATTTGTTAAATAGTAGATACATAGAATCCAGGCATGGTGGTACAAACTTTTAATTCCGGCACTTGGGAGATGAGTTCAAGGCCAGCCTGTAGCGCATGGCAAAACCCTGTCTCAGACAGACAGACAGTGGAAACTTAGTGCTACTTTATTGTCTGCAGAGGTCAGAGTGTGCGGGGATATGCTGGAACCCATTTCCCTCTCCTGTGCGCACACTTGCTCTCCATGCATAGTAACCTTACACATCCCCTGGCCAGGTGTGCAGCACGTGGATCGGCAGTGGTGTGGTCAGCGACCTCAATGATCTCCGTCGGGTACACAACCTGCTCGTGTCCTCTCTGGACAAAGTCCAGGCTGGAAAGGGATCTTCCAGCCAACTGTACCGAGAGAGTGCCACCACCATGGAGAAGCTGGCCGTCCTCAAGGCATGGGCAGAGGTAAACATGGCCCCTCTCATCTCACCATCCTCCATCCCTGATGCTCATTGGAGAATCTTCTGGGCCTCGGCATAGGAAGCCTTTTCAAACTCTGTTGATGAGTCTTCTGTGAAGTGTTGTCTTACTTCGGATAGTGGCTCTCACTAGCGTGGCTGAGGCAGGAGACTGCCGTGTCAGGGCCACTCTTGGGCTTCATAGCAAGTTCTAAGCCAATTGAAGCTACAAAGTGAGACCCTGTCTGAAAAATACAAAACAAAGTCCTTTGTCTTAAGAAGGGCTATTAATATAGGGAAATTAACCATGGAAAGCACAAAAATATAAATAATAAAAATGTTTTTATGCTAAGATTCTTTTATTTAATTAATTTTAAGAGACTTGCTACCTTGATAACTAGGTTGCAGAAGTTTTATTTAGGTTTTTTTTTATTTATTTATTTTTATTTTATGTATGAGTGCTCTGCATGTGTACCTGCAGGCCAGAAGAGGGCATAATATCCTATTATAGATGGTTATGAGCCACCATGTGGTTGTGGGAATTGAACTCAGGTCCTCTGGTAGAGCAACCAGTGCTCTTAACCTCTGAGCTATCTCTCCAGCCCTTACTTTATTTTTTAATAGTTGTTTTTAAACCTGTTTCATTTCCATAGCTGCCGTGTGTGTGTGTATGTGTGTGTGTGTGTGTGTGTGTGTGTGTATGCCACATGTATATGTGGGCACTTCTTTAGAAAATTATATTATTTTAAATTCTCTTAAATTTCTAGATTTTCCAGTTGCTTTTGAATTATCATCACCTGCCCTCCAGTATTTGTAGAAACTGATTCCTCTCTCCACCAGCTCAGTCCATTTTAAAGTTGTATTTATTTATTTTTTTAATTTTATGTGTATGTGTGTTTTGCCTACATGTATGTATATGTACCATGTGCGTGCCTACTACTTACTTGCAGAGGCCAGAAAAGGGATCCTCTCAAACTGGAGTGGTGGGTGGTTGTGAGGCACCAGGTGGTGCTGGGGATCAAACTCGGGTCCTGTGCAAGAGCAGCAGGCGCTGTCAGCTTGTGAGCGGCTCTGCAGCCCCTCAGCCTGTCCTCCCTGTGTCTGAGGTACCGCAGCGCGTGGCCCCTGAACAGCAGGGCTGCCTCAGAGTGTGTGCGAAAGTATCCTTGGGATCCTGGGCTTCTTACTCTGATGGTATTTTAGCAAGATAATGCTTTTTGCTTAATTTAGTAAAATGATTGCCTTTACTTATAACATTTAAGTCTCTTTGAAATTAATGCAAATCCGGAGGTCCTGAGTTCAATTCCCAGCAACCACATGGTGGCTCACAGCCATCTGTAACGGGATCCGATTCCTTCTTCTGGTGTGCATGAAGACAGAGCACTCATATACATAAAATACACGAATGAGTGAATCTTTCAAAAAGCTCATTTTTTCACATTGAGATACTCCTTTTACTTTTAGTGTTTCATGTGTATCAGTGTCTCATGCATGCATGTGCACCATGTGCACGCCTGCTGCTCTGCACAAGGAGCAAGAGCTCTTGACCATGGAGCCATCTCTCCGGCTCCCCTTGTTTTCTCACACTGAAGTTAGGAAATGGCTGTCAACGATGATAGTGTGAATTAAACTAGGTATCGGTGCAGAGAACTGTGCGCGATACTTACTCTTCTACCCACAGTCAACATTATATGCCATGATTAGTTTTTAAATTATTAAAATTTTGCTTGAATCCAGGACTAATAGTTCTTTTATCTCCACTCTGATTTGTCCAACAACATGTTATGGAATGTCAGCTCCAGGGCAGGATAGTAAAGAACAGACAGATGTACTGTATTTAGCCAGTAAACTCAAAACAAGGAAGGAAACCGAAAGTGAGGAGTGCTACCATAGAAACTGGGAGCTCTGAAGCAGTGCAGGGTACGGAAGCTGGACCGCAGGCCCAGAGCTGGGTCCCTGGAGAAAGGGTTTTAAATGGGAACTTGGAGGACAAGAGTAGATACCGGTAAGTCAGCATCTGCGTGAAGGGACTTCAGAGCTCCAGGCCATCAGCTATCCCCCTTCCGGACCCTCCCCTCTTCCTCATGCTCTGTGTCTTTGCCTGTATTCTCCCGTCTTCCTGCTCCCCTCTCTCCTCACCCCCTGAAGTTTCGTGAAAGAATTCCAGTATCTTCGCTTCTATAGTTCTTCTCTCCATTGAGACCACTTTCACCAAGGCCACGATCAGCCCTCATTGAAATCACTCAGCACTTCCGAGCCTGTCTTTCTCGGCCCTATAGCTTGTGCTCTCCAAGTGTACAGCCACCACAGCCAAGCCCGCCACACTTCTCCTGAGAGCCAGAGAACGTTTGTTATCACCGACCCCGGAATTCCTCTTCCCACGGTCCTTTGCTCTGACAAAGAAAAGAAATAAGCTCATAGATGTGTTTACTTAGAGCGTTCTTGGTGACACTGTGAGGTACACGTCCTTTGCTGTTGTCTGTGTTCTGTGATTGCCTACGCCAAACAGTCAGAAGAACACATGAAATTTCTCCAGCTGTGGGGAAATTAGTGGACATATTGTATAGTCTGGGCAGTGAAGTCATTAGGATATGGTTATGAAGACTGAGGAAACTGCATTTTAACTGATCAAATTAAATGGAAAGGTCTCCGTACAGCAAAATTACAGCTTACAAAGACAGAACATGATAATGGGAATTAGGATTATGAGGCATTTTTAGACTTGTGTGTTCTAACTTTTTGTTTGTTTGTTTGTTTGTTTTGAGGTAGTATCTCACTATGTATCCCTGGCTAGCCTGGAACTCACTCTTTATATAGACCAGGCTGGCCTCAAACTTGTATGATTTTCCAGCTTCAGCCCCCTGGGTACTGGGATTATAAGTGTGTGCTACCACATGCAATTTTTTACTTCCCCAACCTCTTATAACAACTTATTAGAATGAAAGTCGTAGAAAAGTGTGTATATCTGACATAAAAACTCCTGCAGCAATGATTCTCCCCTTCCTCGATGCCTACCAAGCAAAAGCTCCAGGTATCTCTGCCTTGCCTCCTGTGCTCAGGCAAGAGCCATGCAGTTCCCTCCTTCCCCTGCTTTCCTGTTCTTGTCCTTGCTGTTCCTCCTGCCTACAGTCCCTCTGTCCTTGTTGACCTGTGAGAGAGAACGTTTGTCCTTCACTACTCCGCCCTGCCTTTGCTGTGCTCTCTGGTTAGATCCGCCCTCATGGTGCTCCCGCCCTGCCTTTGCTGTGCTCTGTGGTCATGATCCGCCCTCACTGGTGCTCCCGCCCTGCCTTTGCTGTGCTCTGTGGT